TGCAACCAGGAGCCCAAATTTCTTCAATAGAGATTAGTCATACTTTCTTTGATGTATAAATATGCTTTCTTCAATTTATGTGATCTAGAGATCACAATTGAATACATAAACGATGCCAAGAGTAAAAGTCAAAATAAAATAAATTAGAGAGCTATAGATTGCGAGATGAAATATTCTAACACTCAAAACCCAACGATTGTTTAAAAGATATAAGGATTTGTGCATATTACACTTGTTTAATGTTGAATTTATGAGTTTATTTGTTCTTATATTCTTGTTTGTAATGGATGACTAAGATTAGAACTAGCTCATAGACTAGATGAATGACAACTTTTATCGTAGTCGTGTGTCTTAAGCTGTACACTTGATGTGCACAGGAGTTGAGTCATGTTGTAGGCGTGAGTGGGTTTGCAACGATCATCTTGCTCATTCCTCTTTGCTTAGTAATCAAATCTAAGGAGCAACACACTATATCTTATCTCTTCATTCATCGTCTTAATCAGTTCCTCATTGATTTTCAATTTTCAATATATAAAATCAAAGCTAATTCGAATACAGAACACTAACACCTTTTGGCGGTAGCACGGTTGCAAAAATCAAGATAACAAGTTTAATTTTGAGTTTTGATATTGATTTGGTGATTTATTGAAAATGTTTGGCGATTCATTAATGAGGAAGAAAGAAAGTTTGAAATTCAAATTTTTTATAAATGTGGCACTGCTCATTTCCTAATTTTCTTGAACAAAAGGAAGACTATTCATTTGCTAGTTTTTTCTTTTCTTTTTTAATATATATGTGTAAGGATTAAAAATAATTGAGAAAAAAATTTAGCGCTTGTAGAAAAATAAAAGTACTCATGTGTTCGTTAAATAATTTAAAAAATAAAGATGTGTCTGTTAAATAATCTAAACAATAAAGAAATGAGAGATTGTTTGGATCTGATTTTCCACGCACTCAATTCATGTATTCTAAGTTGTTGGATGAGAGAAATATTGAGGATCAGGATTGGTTTACGGATAAAGGTTGAGTCAATCGCATAATTAATCTCGGTTTAGAGTCCTAGTTGAAGACGACGAGACTTGACGGCAATAGAGTTTTGGCCGAGAATAATTCTGTGTATATTCAAAGAATATGCCAAATAATCAGAATATTATAATAATTATACCATGCGGTAGACTTGGCCATCATGAAATCCATCCCTATAAATAGAAGAGGTTTTGCAACGTTGAAAACCCTTTGAACACAACAAAGAACTCAAACGCTCTACACTAAAACCCTCGCTCCACCCAAAACCATTCCCACACCTCTGAGAAGAATACTAATTATCTTAACCCTCTCGCCAATACACCTTTAGTTTGGAGTAACAATATTGTGTTAGCAACCAAGGACATCTTCAGTTTAGATTAACAATGCTGGAGTCATCGAATCAAGTGATTGAGGAGCGTCGTTAGTTTGAATTAACATTACTGCTTCTATTTCGGTTGGTTATCTATCCAAGTCTCGGAGGGCAAAGAGTTTCTAATTCTTTTCCCTAAAAAAGTCACTTCATTAGCTTTCCAGCGAAGTGAAGTATACCAGGTTACTTCATGTTCGGTACATTGAAAGTCAAACGGCTTATTGAACTTCGTAGTGATCTAGCAGCATTGTCTTAAGGTTCTAGAACCCTAGGCCAAGAGGTGTTCCTTCCTTGGCCGTAGTTGCTTAAGAGCAAAAGTCAGTAGCACATTTGACACCACCACCACGTCCATTCTACTCGCCCGACTGAGATGCAAGTTGGCATGACCGCAGTCATAAGAAGAACATAGTTGGCTCATAATTACTCAACATGGATGCCATGTAGGCCTTGTAATTTCTAGAGTCACAGAGACAAAACAATAGATCAAACACGCAATACTAAAAAGCAACAAATACCACCACTTATACAAAAATAACATAAACTCATAAAGTACCCTAGCCCTGGCCTAGTAATGTATATCATCAGGGTCATGTGACCTTGAGCCATGTAAGGAAATAGCAGAAAGTGAAGCTGGTTGTTCTGGTGAGAAGCCATGCCTGGAAATTATTGAAGGAATAGAGAAACAATAATAATATGGATTTGTTATTAGCACTCCAAAAATCTCATTTGGCACTCTAAAGTTTCTATGATTAGAAAAAAAAAAATACATTTGTAAGGAGTGTAAGATGAAATTTTTAAAGTATTAATAACAGTTTCCTAAAATATTGTATGAATAGAGAAGAGGGTACCTAAACGCAGGCAGCACCTAAAAATAGATGATAAAAGTTAGGCTCTCGCTACCCAAATTAGTGTCTATCAAGTGTTTAACAATTTCAGGAACTTAATTGGGGAAGTCAGCTTGCTATAGGTGGCAGCAAAGTGTACTATTAGAAATCGTCCTCTATGTTGTAGTGAAGAAGAAAACCTAGAGATCAGTAAGCTAGAGAAGCTACAATTCGCTTGGCTCTACCCTCCTCTATCTGTCTAATTGATAATAAAAGAAAGGGCTGTTTCCACTGTTGTACTTTTATGCGCAAACGGAAGCGAATTCTAGTAAAGTACCAAATATCAACGTTGTAAGCAAAATTGAAAAAACAACAATCACAAAATAAGAACACAAAAGATTTAATGTGATTTGGCGTAAAGCGTACGTTCATGGGCTAAGTATGGCGAGTAACTAAACAAACGAAGATTACAAAAAAGTGTTTGAACTCTCACAACCTAAATCGCACAAATTACAAACCCTAAAACAAACGAGTAGAGAATCCAAAAACAAACGAAGAAGATTCTCACAAATTCACAAATTGACTCTCATCAAATTGCCACACGAATAAGACACACAAAATAAACTAACCTTAAGGTCCTTTTTATAGAGCATAGGACTTGGGTTTACATAGAAATCCTAATAGAAAGTAACTAATCAATAGGTAATTAGCAAAATCTTTTCACCAAATAAGGAATCCAACTAGAAGTCAAATCCAGACTCAAATACAAAAACAAACAAAATAAGTAACACAAACCTAACTTTTGCATCATCCTAACCTTGAGACGCAAAACTCAGCACCTACTCCAAAGTCTGCCTAAACCCTTCACACAACCTAATAGACTTCTTGTACGTTTTTACGCCAAACAACACTTCTGTTCCGTTCTTGTTTAAAGACCCGAAATAAATTACAAAGAAGATCCACATAAATGTAGTCATGTACATGTCAATATTCAATCTAAGATCAATCGAGTTGTGAAAATTATTAAAGCAAATATAAGGTTGATCATAAAAATGACCAACATTAGGGAAGACATCAACTGCCATATCTTTTGTTTCTTTTGAAAAAAAACAATTTTATCTCAATAAAACAATATTATCTACACTAAGGGGAAGAGAGTGGGCTTGACCTCACAATAAAATAGTAATAATGTGGTTTAAATTCGCTTTTGGCCAAAATCGAACCTAAAACCTCTCACTTACAAGTAAAGAGAAATATCACTAGACCGTAATACTAAGTGGCATCAAATGCCATATTTACTTCTGTTCGTGGATACTAGTAACATGAAGAATTTGCGAAAATAATATGCCATATGACTTGTATTAATTACTGAAGAAATTCTCCATGTAACCAGAATCTCTTTCGTTATGGCATGGATAAAAGGTACTGTTCCATTCGATTTTTCAAGCACATTCTAGTAGTGTTTGTTTTTGTTTTATACAATAATATTTTGCCACTTAATGGTATTCTTTTCTTCACTTGTAAATAAGAGATTTTAGGTTCAATTTTCGTCAAAAACAAATTTAAACAACATTATTATTAGCTCATTGTAAGGTTAAGCCTATCATCTCTTCTAAGTATAGATAATATCGGTTACTCAAAAAATAAAAAATAAATAATAATATTTTACTCATTAAATAGGGTCATTTATTTAAATCCCATGTGTAGCATCCATAACAACATTGCAGTGTTTGCACTAGGAAATGAGGGGCATCAACGGCACCGCACAATGGGCCAATTGTAATCGTTAAATGTCCAACTTGTCATACAAGCAGTGGTTTTATTGTCATTTGACACCCCCAATAAATGAAGGAAACCTTTCTAAAATTTTAATAGAAAGAACTTGTTTGATCTAACTAAGGACCAGTTCGGAATTGATGTGTTTTTCTAATAAATTGCTTCTGTTGGGCTTTAAGAATAACTAGCTTCAAAATAAAGAAGTTGAGCGTTTGATAAACTGTATTTTTAAATGTGTTGTGAGTATGAAAAACAGTGTTTAGAAGGATAAATAATGTAATAGTTTAAAATTAATGAGCATCGTACAGGAATTCAAAACATTTTAAAAGCTCAACTCCACTTTTTATTAAAGCATATTTTAAAAGCAATCTATATGATGCTTTTAAAATCTACTGTTTGGATATCATTGCTGTTAAAATAAGCAATATATTTTATTTTTATCAAACGTTTTTTTACTACCTAACTTTAAAGTGAAGCAGTTTTTAATGAAAAAAAAAATACACAATACCAAACTGATCCTAAAAAGAACAATTTATTCCCCTACTCCTGAAGTCTAAAACAATGCATATTAAAAAAGAACTACAACCGAGTACATCATGAGCCCTAGATTCGGTGGCAACAAACTAAAAACTGTGAAAATCCGACATGAGTCCCATATTGTGACGTCCTAAGTTTGGCTGGGGTGGTAGGTTTCACTCTTTAGTAAAGTTTATGCCCACATGATACCACTTCTTTAGCCGCCATTGATACTGCATTCTAACTTCTTGGACTATGATTACAGAAGATCAATACACTAACCATTTGGGTGCAGAAAATTAAAATATATTCCATTAGCCAACATACTAAATCCACAACACTCCGTACACTTGCACAAATTATCTATATACTAAAGCTCAGCAAAAAATCACTGTTCATCATGTGAGAGTAAGCACTGTTCATAAACAATGAAAGGGCGGAACTGCCCTTGGTTTCTGCTTTGGTTCCCGTACTGTTCACACTTTGCTACGGTAAGAAGTCCGTTTTGTCCTTGATGGTTGCCCATCTCTCATTCCTTTTCAGTACATGCTTTCCATGCGTCGATCATTGTAGTGCATCGACTGCTTCCACTTTTCTTCTCGACTTTTTCCTTCCGTTGTAGGGCAGGGCTTCCCTGTGATTCTTTAAAATCAGAGAGCTCCCCTATTACCACTGCAGCAGAGGTTCTTCAAATTCTCCCCATTTCTCATCCTAAACCCTAATTTCCAAACAACTATTTCTTAATTTCAAATTTTTTAATTTGTTCAGGCATGAGTACCGCACGTATTTCTACAAGGTCTTCAAACTTTACACAAAGCTATGGATCGCAAGACACTCCACCCTCTGTTCTGTTACGCATCTTCAGCTCTGTCTCTTTCACTCTTGAGGTACTTGCCGTTGTTGCCGATCTACAGGTAAAGCTTCCATTTCCATATTAAGGTTCCATTTTTCTTCATTTCTGGGATTTGGGTTTTAATTTCAGTAATTTATTTTTATTAAATTTGGTTGTGTGGTTAATAATTTTTCTTCTTAATTTTACTAATATTTTGAGTTCTTTTTTTTTCCTTTACAAATTTCAATTAAATTGCATGCAGTTGAATTATTTTAAAATTCCCTGTATATTTATTATTTGTTTCCAGTAGGTAATCAGGTAGTATATTTTATGAAAACTCTGATTAATTTTTACATGTTCTTCTTTTCTACGTGAAGTGAAAAAAGAAGAAAAACTCTTAACTTTAATCAGATGTCCACTGAAAAGAAAACAAATCACATTATAGACCAGTACCTTTTTGCAGTCTTCTTGACAACAACTTATCTGGGTATCTTCCGCCAGAGTTCTCGGGAGTTGCCAAGCTTATTAATATTGTATGTTTTCTTACTTCGGAACATAAATTTGTGCCTTAATTATGTTTTCATCCTTTCCTTTCTTAAATTTGTGCCTTACAATCTCTATTTATTCATACATCAGATTTAAAACTCCAACTACGGAGGTGTAAATCCAAAAGATTTGTGATTAATCATAGCAACAATAGAGGGAATCATAGTTTTTGTTGGGAAACACATATTTCCAACCACTGCAGGGAACATCTCCTGTTTCTATCTGATGTTATATCACATTAGGTGATGGTGCTGGTTGTTTGGAATGACAATCGAGAAGTAGCTCTTAATATTTAACATGACGAATCATGTCAAGATTGAATATGTTTGTGTTTTTGTTGTTTCTTTCAGGAGTTTGAGGAACTGCAACTAACAATGGCCTATTCCTGATTTCAGTAGGATTCCAAACCTTGGTTATGCATAGGTTCAAGTTTAATTGTGTAAAAAATGGAGAGATTGATCGCCGTCACTCATACCTGCGTTTCAGGAAACAAGTTTGTCTCTTGCCAATTTTGTGTACCCACTTTTTATTCATGATGGTTAGTGCTCGCTTGCAACCCAATTTGCTGCTGTAAAGTTTTGCGTTTTACAATCTGTTCATGCTTAAACCTCTTCCAATTTTGCAATTCTCTGTAAATCTTGTAGGTCAAGATGGGACACCTATCTGGGCAATGTTGGGATGTCCAGGCTTGGGTGGAGACGTGTACTTATGGAAGTGGTGAAGTAGCTTAGCTCTATCTCATTAGCTCTCATCTGTTCTGTTTAAGCTCATTAGTGCTGACTTTGAGGTTTTTCGAAACTCTCCGTTTTCGAAGTCTGAAGCTTAGAATCCCATTCAACCACAAGGAACTAGAATAATTGAAAAAAATGTTTTGGCGTCCAAAAAGAAGCATGTGCAATCCTCTAATTTTATTAATATAAAAGAAGTGATGCAAATCCAGTAAAGATGTAAATAAGAGCTATTAGTGGAAAAAATAGTTGTATAATTCCAGGCCTTGAAGAAGGCTACAAAGGATACGAGAATAACGTATCTATATAGTGTTTATGTTTGTTCATTTCTCCCCTACGGTTTTTTATGCCTGTTAACGCTTAAACAATGATGCAGGTCAATCAAGCAGATAAGATTCGGAAAGAAAACTCCACATCTGTTGCCAGCAGTGCTCATGAGGAGAAGTATAGGAAACCAAAGCCTACAAATCTGAAGCCTTTTAGGTTTAGAACTGATGTATGTGAAGCCTGTTGCGACCAATTTCTTTAATAAGTATTAATAGCGTTGATGCTTAATATGATATATTTTGGGTTTTGTTTTTTAGGAAAGAGGGATGTTTAAGGAAGCAACTTTGGAGGAAAAAGCTCATGCACCATTGAAGGAGATCACATTAGTCATTACTCCAGGAGCAAAGTCAACAAGCAAACATCAGAATGTAATACAGGTATACTTGGGAGCTACAAGTGCATTGTGTGTGGTTTGAATCTGAACATTTACATTGTGCATCACCGTCATATAGGCAAATTTGTTATGTGTGATGGTGTATTTACGCATGACTGAAATGGATGATCTAATTTTATACAATTTATAATTTTGGGTTTATCTAATTTTCTGCTTTTTTTTTTTGTGATTTATTTGATGAAAGTTTCAATCTTCAAGTACATTTTTCATATATGTACTCATCAAATTTCACGACTACTGATCCTCTGGTTTTTTGGGTTACAAATTAAATTTTGGGGTTGTTTAAATTTGTTTAATGTGGTCCAAGATTAATCGATTTGATGTTCTATGTTCTTTGTAGACAAAACATTGGAGCAGTTGGTCATATTTAGAAGAGCAAACGAGGATTGAGTTCTTGGTGTTGCATGAAGTTGATGCGCATTAGATGGACATCCATCCCGTCTCCAATGGAAGAAATTTGATGTCACCATCTTCAGCTTTCCTCATGCAGGCCATTACTCTTGGCTAAGTGAAAAGTACTCGGACCTTATTGAGTAGCTCACTAATTATTCATTTCAATTAATTGCTGATTAGGATATTATGTGTAAATAGGATTGTAAATATGTTATACATATAATTTTCAATCACACAGCAACGCGCGGGCACCATTGCTAGTAACAGTCTATAATCCTAATATGACACAACAACGTGTGGTCTAATATCTAAGTGAATAGGGTGTTGGGTTTCTAGCCATACTTCTTGGGTTGGAAACTCCCCCCTATCCTTAATTATAATAGTTTTGAACCAACCACTACCGCGCCCCCCCCCCCCCCCCCCCCTTTTCTTTTTTTTCCCCTTACTAATAATAATTTTTATTTTTAAAGGGCCCAACATGCGTATTGAAGTACAATCTTAATATCTTAAGCTTCCAGCATGCGTATAACCCTAATATCCTAATACAGTACACATAATCCTAAAATCTCTCTTCTTAGTTTGTCTCTCTGCCATTATTTCCTTGTTGCATGATATCTTGGATTAGCAGTGTAATGTTCAGGTGAGAAGATCCCCCTTCCTCTACTGCTCTCCTTGCCATCTCTCCCAACTCTCTGGCTCTCTCTCTTCTTGCTTCGCTTTCTTCTCCGTCCATCAACTTCTCTACGGCCACCTTCACATTTTCCTTTTTCACCAACACCCCAATCTTCTCCTCCTCTCCCCACTTCATTGGGTTTTCAATCCCTACTCTCACTGCAATTTTCAGAATCTGTTCAACAAGTTTCTCATTGAGAAACTGATCTCCGAAAAGTGGCCATGTGATCAAGGGCAGGCCGGCGCATATCCCTTCCAATGCTGAATTCCATCCACAGTGTGTTAATAACCCTCCAATGGCAGGGTGTGACAATATGAGTGTTTGCGGGGCCCAACCCCAAATCAACAGGCTCCTGTCTTTGGTCCTCTCCTCAAATCCGCTTTCTGTAATCCATGTCTTCAATTCCTCTGTTTGGCTGCAGCCCCTTACAACCCAAATGAAGGGCTTATTCGATGCCTCTAACCCCAACCCAAGTTCCATCAGTTGTTCAGACACAAGGTTACACAAACTTCCGAGGCAAGCATAAACTACAGAACCTGATTCACGACAATCAAGCCAATCCGAGCAGTGATGTGCATCAATTGCAGCCTTGTTACCTCTTTGTGCCTTATCCAAGTCATCTTTGTTGCACAGCGAAACGGGGCCAATGCACCAGACTTTATCCTTTCTTGCCTCCTTGTATGCTTTAACATATGCTGGTTCTAATTCCTCGAAACTATTCACGATCATCCCATATGACGCCATCTCAGCTGCTACCATACGATCATTATATTCTTTCACGTTTTGTGTCACTGCCCCAGCTGGAAGCTGAGCTTTTGTCATCACAATTCGATCTGGCATCTCAGGCAGAACAATGTACTCCGAGTCAGAAGTTACATTTTCAAGAATATTGGATACGTTCAAATTATGAATGACCAAGAAAGACAAGCAACATGTTCCGCCGAAAGATAGCCTTGGAATGTGAAACTTGCTAGCAATGTGAATTGTCCATGGAAGACATATGTCAGAGATTATGCAATTTGGCTTGGGGGTCATCTCTTCAAACACTTGCTCCACTTGCGGTTGAAGCAGGGCAGTGGCAGCAAAGAAAGTCATTGCCAAGCCGTATGAAGGTAGCATGTCAACGTTCTCGCAACCTTCTGGCAATCCAGCTTCTTCAGATGGGAATTTCAGTTGAATTAACCGGATAAGAAGCCCGGAATCGATGGCGCGAGTAATAACTGTTTGATAGCGGGCTGCGTTGCGAGGGGTAGTGAGTATGGTGATAATGATGCCTTGCTGAGCCAAAAGTCTAGCAATGTCGATCATCGGGATCATGTGGCCTTGAGCCATGAAAGGAAACAAAACAAAGTGAATCTGCTGGTTTTCTTTATGAGAATCCATGGAAATTGAACAAATAACAATGCTGGGAATTAAGGCGAGGTCGATGACTAGTAATACATAGAACATTACTGAGGTTTATCCGATCAGATTTTAATGGCTGAGACTTGATTAAAGTTTAGTGGACAACGATAGATTCTTTAGCTTTCACTGTCCTCCCAACCCTTTATCTGCAACTTATTTGGCATTTCTGGAGTTACGTGCATAACTTGCTTCTGAATTATTATTCTAGTTGAAATTGACATTTAATGTATTTTTTTTATTTATAAATTAGTCCCTTGAACCATTTCAGAAACAATTCCGTCAAATTCAAGGGCAAATTAATCATCTCATCATTAATTGTTACATGTTAGCTATAACCACCAATAAAATTTCGACACATGGATACAAAATAATTCAAAAATATATAGCATAATGAGAAAACTTAAAAAACCAAACGTTTACAGAGCAGGCCATCTCGCACTGTCATTACACATTATTTGTTTTCACATATAATAATTACATTGTTGATTATAGTTGACAAGTAAAAATTGATAAAGGAAAGACTAATTTTCCTTTAAATTTGACGAAATAGTGGATGGAATCTACCGACAAGGGGTCAATTGACTTATTTTAAATAGTTCAAGAAGTTAATTTACCAAAAAATAATTTAGGCGATCAATTTCAACTGGAATAATAATAGTTCAAGGGGTCAAATGACGGTTTACCCGCTAGAATGGGACACAGACACTTACGTGAAATAGATTCTTGGTGCAGTTGAACAAGGGAAGGAGTCCATCCATTTCCAGTAATGGGGCAATTTGTTTCAGAGTAGTCTGTTCACCAGTTCAGAAAAACAAGTTAAAATTGTCTCCATGCATCTTCGTGCACACGAGAAGTAATAACGGCAAGCAATTACCCGGCAAGCCTGTCTCACACTAACGTCATCGTCATGCAAATGCAGAAAGAAGCGTGGGATTACGGTATGTACCTGGACATAGTATTACATTTTATAACTATATGAGCTTTTAAATGAAAACCTCTGTCAAGTTTCCATGTTATTCATATATAAAGAATTAAGTGGTAAAAAGTTCTGAACAAAACTGTGCATCAAGTTTCCATGTCAAGATTCCCATTTGAGTATTGATGGTTTTGTTTGAATTCTGTAAAAACCCAGTTTCAATTTCGTGTTTGATTTCAACCCAGTCTCTGTTTCAGCATTTTTTCGTGTTAGTTCTGGGAATTTTATTTGGTTTCTTTTAAAACTGAGTTAAAATTTCGTGTTTTGATTCCTACGGTCCTACCCAACTTTCGTTTTGAGCATTTTTTTGTTAATCCTGAGAATTTTATTGGGTTTTTTTAAAAAAGCAGTGAAAGTTCGTATTTTGGTTGCAACCCAGTTTTTGTTTCCGCGTATTTTGTTTTGGATGAAATGTTTAAAAAAAAAACAAAGAGTTAACGGGTAAAACGGATGAAATGGATGACCCGGTAGTTTAACGGGTTAGATTTGAGTACCCATTAAATTAACGGGTTGGATTGAATTCGACCTAAATCCAATAAACCCAACTCGTTTACAGGTCTAATCATGTGGCCTTGAGCCATGAAAGGAAACAAAACAAAGTGAATCTGCTGGTTTTCTTTATGAGAATCCATGGAAATTGAACAAATAACAATGCTGGGAATTAAGGCGAGGTCGACGAATTGTAATATATAGAACATTACTGAGGTTTATCCGATCAGATTTTAGTGGCTGAGACTTTATTCAAGTTTAGTGGACAACGATAGATTCTTTAGCTTTCACTGTCCTCCCATCCCTTTATCTGCAACTTATTTGGCATTTCTGGAGTTACGTGCATAACTTGTTTCCGAATTATTATTCTAGTTGAAATTAACCCTTAATGTATTTTTTTTATTTATAAATTAATCCCTTAAACCATTTAAAATCAATTAATTAACCTCTTGCCATTAGATTACGGAATCAATTCCGTCAAATTCAAGGGCAAATTAATCACCTCATCATTAATTGTTACTTGTCAGTTATAACCATCAATAAAATTTTGACACATGGATACAAAATAATTCAAAAATATATAGCATAATGAGAAAACTTAAAAAACCAAACGTTTACAGAGCAGGTCATCTCACATTGTCATTACACTATTTGTTTTTCACATATCATAATTACATTATTGATTATAGTTGACAAGTAAAAATTGATAAAGGAAAGATTAATTTTCCTTTAAATTTGACGAAATAGTGGATGAAATCTACCGACAAGGGGTCAATTGACTTATTTCAAATAGTTCAAGGAGTTAATTTACCAAAAAATAATTTAGGCGATCAATTTCAACTGGAATAATAATAGGTCAAGGGGTCAAATGACGGTTTACCCGCTAGAATGGGACACAGACACTTACGTGAAATAGATTCTTGGTGCAGTAGCCCTTGGATATAATGGGACGATTTGTAGTTTATGATGCTCATCGGGTACCAAATAGAAAGAGGCCTCTCATGCGTGTGTGTGAGTAATACCATCGTGGCCATGTTTATAGGGTATCACCAATAGTGCCGACAAATTAATGAGTAGGTAAACTCATTTTGATTGGCTTTGTGAACAAAGAATTTGATCTAACAATTAGGCAATTGAGTAGCCAAATGCCTCTCTCCATCAAAGTAACAATCAAAAGAAAGAAAGACCAAGTCAATTGCTATCATGTGTAAGAAGCGGATTGATCTTATGGATGTCTTGTTATTTACTATCATTGACTTTGAAATATTCTAAAGCATAATGCACATTACATACGCAATGACACTCAACCCTAGACTGGGTTTGGTTTCTATCAACCCTTTACGAAATGTGTGGTCATTTAAGTATTCAACAAGTCTCTTACAATTTACTTAAAAAGAATAAAATGATAAATGAAAGTTATCTATTTTCTGTCTTAATGAGAGTCGCGACCTAGGCAAGTTCCTAGGCGGGTCTGGACGGGTTAGTAGGCACCTAAGTAAGTCTAGGCGCCCTTTCTTAATTTTCAAATGCCTAGGGATTAATCCCGGCGATGCTCGCCGCCTAGCGCCTAGATGGTGCTTAGGCTGTGGTCGGCGAGAATTTTTAGAACAGTGAATGAAATATAGTGCCTTTACTGGAAAGAAAGAGACCAGTATGTAGGTCACTACAAACCAAGGAAAAGGAAACAACGATGATATGCAAAATGCTGCCTTTAACTTGTCTAGTTCACTTGCCCACACATATGATTAAAGGATGGGTTTTTAAATACTAGTGAAGAAAGTTGAGGTTCTACAATAAAGTCAACTGACAATATGTAGAGTAGCTTATCACTTATAAGCACATGCAAGATCCCTTCCTTTCCCAATGCGAGATTTTGCATATGCTTATTAGTAATTGGGCTATTCTATATATAGCCAAATGATTTTATGATGAAAGCCCAACTTACTTCATGGTCAGAGCAGGTTGTCCCACGTGTGAAGCCCAACGGCCACGTATACTCCACGTCATCCATTTTGTGTGTTTTCACGTGTTTGACTTGAAAATTCACAACACTTGCGGGGGCATGTTGAGAGTATCGGGGAAACAAAGACCTTTACATATGCTTATGAGTAGTTGGACTACTTCTCATATTGCCAATTGGTTCTATGGTGGAACCCAACTTTCTTCTTAGTATCAGGGCAAGTTATCCCATGTATGAAGCCCAACGGCAATACGTTCTCCACGTCATCCTATTTGTGTTGTCCACGTGTTTGGCCTAAAAATTCACCAAATATGATGTGGCATGTTGAGAGTTTGAATTCCACATCAGAAAAAGAGGGAACATTGCATATGCCTAAGTCATTTGGGTACTACTCATACTGCCAATAAATTTTATGATGAAACCCAACTTCCTTAGAAAAACTTAACCACTGTAGACACAAACAGGTTGATCAAAAACTCGCTCTTTACTAATGGAACCTTAAATCGATTATTTGGAGGTTCAAATGAGTTACGACTTCATATTATTTTCTTTCTTCATTTTCAATATATCTGATAGGTCTCTATAAAAACGTAAATATATTTCGGTGGATACCTGCTGAAAAATTTTCACCAGTTATCTTTTACGTACTCTTACGTTAGACGGAGAGTACCGAAAATATGCACAGCTTTTATGGCTGCCGCAGAAACCTCGTATTCTTTCGGGAGGCGCTTGATAAATCTTATATATCGTTTCGACAGATACCTGTTGAAACATTCTGTGAAGGGTATAGGATGTCGAGTGTGTGACGGTAATTTAGGTAAGGAAAGTAGGTGTATTAATTGTTTCTGAAACATAAATCTGCAGAGAGAAAAAGAAAAGAAAACTAATTTTGCAACAAATGACATGTTTACGGTACATGAGATAAGAAGCTCTTTCAGTTGAGACGGAGCAGCAAGTCTCTTATCTTCTTCTCTCCTTAGTTTGTCTGTCTGCCATTACTGCGTCGTTGCATGATATCTTGGATAAGCTGTGTAACGTTGACGTGAGACGATCCTCCTTCTACTGCTCTCTTTGCCATCTCTCCAAACTCTCTGGCTCTCTCTCTTCTCCCTTCACTTTCTTCTCCATCCATCACCTCCTCTATCGCTTTTGTTACATTTTCCCTTTTCACCAGCACGCCAATCTTCTCTTCCTCTCCCCACTTTACGGGATACTCCACCCCAACGCTCACCGCAATTTTAAGAACCTGTACAACTAGTTTTTCATTAAGGAACTGGTCCCCAAACAGTGGCCATGTGATCAAGGGCAGCCCGGCACATATCCCTTCCAATGTCGAGTTCCATCCACAATGCGTTAAAAACCCCCCAACTGCACGGTGTGACAATATGAGTGTTTGCGGAGCCCATCCCCGAATAAAGAGGCTCCTTCCTTTCGTTCTTTCTTCGAATCCACTCTCGGAAATCCACTTCTCCAACGCTTCTGATTGACTGCATCCCCTTACAACCCAAATGAACGGTTTGTTCGATGCCTCTAAGGCCAGTCCAAGCTCTATCAATTGTTCACACACAAGATTGCATAAACTTCCAAGGCAAGCATAAACTACAGAACTTGGTTCCCAAGAATCAAGCCACTTCAAGCAGTGCTGTTCATCAATGGAGGCCTTGTTACCCCCTCTGCACCTTGTCCAAGTCATCTTTGTTGCACAGTGAAGCTGGGCCAATGCACCAGACTTTTGCCGTCTTCTTGTACGCTTCAATATATGCTGGCTCCAACTCTTCGAAAGTATTCAGGATTATCCCAAATCTTTCCAATTCAGCTGCAGCAATTTTGTCAAAAAACCCGGACATACTTGGAGTCCCGCTTGGCAGCTGAGCTTTCGTGGCCTCAATTCGATCAGGCAAGTCAGGCACAACAAAGTACTCCGTTTCAGAGCTTAAATTCTCAAGAACTTTCGACGCCTGAATTTTGTTCCTGCAAAGGAGACAAAATGTGCTGAATCCACAGAAAGATATCCTTGGAATGTTAAACTTGTGGGCAATTTTCACTGTCCACGGAAAACACATATCGGAGAATATGCAGCTTGGCTCGGGGGTTAGCTTTTCGAACAACTTCTCTGCTGGCTGTTGCAACAGACCCGTTGCAAAATAGAACTGCGCCGCCAATCCATACGAAGGAAGCAGGTCCATGTTCTCACACCCAGCAGGAAACCCCGCTTCTTCGCATGGAAATTCTAGTAGGGCTACCCTCATTTGGAGCCCCGACTGCAGAGCACGAGTCACAACGTCTTGAAATCGCGCAGCATTGTGCGGCGTAGTGACGATGGTGATGATGATGCCTCTTTGCGCCAAGAGTCTGGCGATGTCGATCATCGGTATCATGTGGCCTTGGGCCATGAAAGGAAACATGACAAAGTGAAGCTGGGGCTCTCCGGACGCCATGGTATTGGGAAGAAAATTGGATAGACAGATTATCATATACGAAGCAGGAGGTTCTCTTGTTACTCAGGGATATAGCATCTCTCTCATGCTACCGGACAATGATGCAATTTGCTACTGCTGACGTGAGAGCTTACAAATTTATTGGCGTCATTATCCAAACATTTCACTCTACTCAGTTATGTGGACTCTGTTAAACCACTTCACATAACTTGCTTTCTATGTCGTGCAGTCCTAGTGAACACACAAAAGCTACACGTAACGACGAGAATGATACAGTTGCGCGACATTTACACGTAAGGAACTGAACAATCAATAGATTTACGAGAATGATGCCAGTAGATTTACGAGAATGATGCAGTTGCGCGATATTTACGTGCACGAATCGTAAAATCTATTGGGTGGTGTAGAGCTAGCTTATGGGACCAAATGGAGTCCCGCGGGTGAATAAAACTGACAATTCAATATCAATAGAAGGAGAGGCAGGAAATATTACATATTACGGCGCAAGCACGACTCCGAAACAATCAACACACTAATATTCAGAATTGCCTTAAAACAAGAAACCATGAAACATCTCAAACCACATCTCCTTTGTGTTCAAGTTCCAAATCGTTTGCCTAAAACCTGTAAAACCGACAGTACGTGAAAACACGAATTTACAATCTCTGGGATGACGTTTTGAGTGCACCAGAATAATGTTACATCTATAACACACAAAATACACAAGCGACCTGAGGTAAATGTTTGATTTACAAAGATACAACACAATTGACATGATTTACAACAATTCGAGAAATTTATGGCCCCGGTAACCCTACATACTGAAGGTCAATGCTGAATTTCACGATTCTCCTACGCTGCTTTGTTCTGCATCTTGCAATGGGAATTCCATTTCACAGTCATCAAAGATAGGGATATGTTTCCTTGCACACAGATGAAGATGATCAATTTAATTTCTCCTTTATAGCTTGCTACTTCATTCTAGACTGAAAAATCATGGCCCTTTCGTATTGAGTGACTTGAGTCCGTACGATCAACTCGAGCTGATTTCCATGAGGATGACTTTGAGAATTTTAATAATAAACCCAGAGCAGAAGAGCACGTAGCTCTCACGACTGCATCTGCTGACTTACTCATTTTTCCTACTAGCGTTCCGAATACCTAGATTTAGACATGAATTTTTGTGAGTATACCATGTTACTCTTAGTTTTGGACCATGACATAAAAAGATAGAACTTGTGTCTGAAAATTACCTGCGCATAATATTGATTCAAGATGTGCTGATCATCGGACAGAGATAGCATACAGCTGGAGAAGTATATAGCATTAGCCTTCTAGGACAATTCAGTGTAGCATCAGTTTGAACTTCACCAAAGTCTTCTAGGACAAATCTTAACCAAGTAGCTTGTGCGGTAGCTTCTAAAGCATTGATGTACTTAGCTTCAGCAATGAATAAGGCTACATATTGTTGCTTAACTGAAACCCAAAAGAAAAAACCACTACAAAAAGTACAAGCATAGCTAGAAGTTCTTTTCACGACCTCTTCTGAACCACTCCAATCACTGTCATAGAATCCTATCATAATTGCTCCTTTTCCTTTCTTGTATTCAAAGCCAAAATCCAAAGTTCCTTGAATATAATTGAGAACTCTTTTGGCTGCCCCATAGTGCTTATTTGAGTGGCAATGCAGGGCCTTGCTAGCAAACAGGCATAATACATTATGTCTTGTCAAGTTGCAATAAGGTATAACATGCTCCCATAAACCTTTTTGTATTGAGCTTCATCATCAGTTCTACTATCATCCTCTTTTCTCAGATTGTCACTTGGAATTAGTGGTGTACTCATAGGTTTGCAACCTGGAGCCCAAATTTCTTCAATACAGATTAGTCATACTTTCTTTGATGTATAAATATGCTTTCTTCAATTTATGTGATCTAGAGATCACAACTGAATACATAAACGATACCAAGAGTAAAAGTCAAAATAAAATAAATTAGAGAGCTATAGATTGAGAGATGAAATATTCTAACACTCGAAACCCAATGATTGTTTAAAAGATATAAGGATTTGTGCATATTACATTTGTTTAATGTTGAATTTATGGGTTTATTTGTTCTTATATTCTTGTTTGTAATGGACGACTAAGATTAGAACTAGCTCATAGACTAGATGAATGACAACTTTTATCGTAGTTGTGTGTCTTAAGTTGTACAAGTGATGTGCACAGGAGTTGAGTCATGCAGCGTGAGCGGGTTTGCAACGATCGTCTTGCTCATTCCTCTTTGCTCAGTAAATAAATCTAAGGAGCAACGCACTATATCTTATCTCTTCATTCATCATCTTAATCAGTTCCTCATTGATTTTCAATTTTCAATATATAAAATCAAAGCTAATTCGAATAGAGAACACTAACACCTTTTGGCGGTAGCACGGTTGCAAAAATCAAGATAACAAGTTTAATTTTGAGTTTGGATATTGATTTGGTGATTTATTGAAAATGTTTGGCGTTTCATTGATGAGGAAGAAAGAAAGTTTGAAATTTAAATTTTTTATAAATGTGGCACTGCTCATTTCCTAATTTTCTTGAACAAAAGGAAGACTATTCATTTGCTAGTTTTTTCTTTTCTTTTTTAATATATATGCATAAGGATTAAAAATTGAGAAAAAATTTAGCGCTTGTAGAAAATTAAAAGTACTCATGTGTTCGTTAAATAATTTAAAAAAATAAAGATGTGTCTGTTAAATAATCTAAACAATAAAGAAATGAGAGACTGTTTGGATCCGATTTTGCACGCACTCGATCCATATACGGTAAGTTGTTGGATGAGAGAAATATTGAGGATCAGGATTGGTTTACGGATAAAGGTTGAGTCAATCGCATAATTAATCTCGGTTTAGAGTCCTAGTCGAAGACGACGAGACTTGACAGCAATAGAGTTTTGGCCGAGAATAATTCTGTGTATATTCAAAGAATATGCCAAATAATCAGAATATTATAATAATTATACCATGCGGTAGACTTGGCCATCATGAAATTCATCCCTATAAATAGAAGAGGTTTTGCAACGTTGAAAACCCTTTGAACACAACAAAGAACTCAAACGCTCTACACTAAAACCCTTGCTCCACCCGAAACCATTCCCACACCTCTGAGAAGAATACTAATTATCTTAACCCTCTCGCCAATACACCTTTAGTTTGGAGTAACAATACTGTGTTAGCAACCAAGGACATCTTCAGTTTAGATTAACAATGCTGGAGTCATCGAATCAAGTGATTGAGGAGCGTCATTAGTTTGAATTAACATTACTGCTTTTGTTTCGGTTGGTTATCTATCCAAGTCTCAGAGGGCAAAGAGTTTCTAATTCTTTTCCCTAAAGAAGTCACTTCATTAGCTTCCCAGCGCAGTAAAGTATACCAAGTTACTTCATGTTCGGTACATTGAAAGTCAAACGGCTTATTGAACTTTGTAGTGATCTAGCAACATTGTCTTAAGGTTCTAGAACCCTAGGCCAAGAGGTGTTCTTTCCTTGGCCGTAGTTGCTTAGGAGCAAAAGTCAGTAGCACATTCGACACCACCACCATGTCCATTCTACTCACCCGACTGAGATGCAAGTTGGCATGACCGCAGTCATAAGAAGAACATAGTTGGCTCATAATTACTCAGCATGGTTGCCATGTAGGCCTTGTAATTTCTAGAGTCACAGAGACAAAACAATAGATCAAACACGCAAACTCATACATACTAAAAAGCAACAAATACCACCACTTATACAAAAATAACATAAACTAATAAAGTACCCTAGCCCTGGTCTAGTAATGTATATCATCGGGGTCATGTGACCTTGAGCCATGTAAGGAAATACCAGAAAGTGAAGCTGGTTGTTCTGGTGAGAAGCCATGCCTGGAAATTATTGAAGGAATAGAGAAACAATAATAATATGGAATTGTTATTAGCACTCCAAAAATCTTATTTGGCACTCTAAAGTTTCTATGATTAGAAAAAAAAAAAAAATACATTTGTGAGGAGTGTAAGATGAAATTTTTAAAGTGCTAATAACAGTTTCCTAAAATATTGTATGAATAGAGAAGAGGGTACCTAAACGCAGGCAGTGTTGGAAATTCAAATTAAAAGTCATGTGATCTGTCCATGTGATGCTAACCTTTCTTTACATATTGTTTCCAGCAAAATATAATCATCATTGCTCCTTCATTATTCAGCCGAATGGTGATGAAAGAGAGCAAGTGTGCTGCCATGTGAAGTGCTAGCAGGAAGACAGCAGTGTGCTGCCATGTGCTAGTCGAATCTGTGTTATTTGCAGCTGGAAAGACAGCTGCTGTGTGCTAGCCGAATGTAGACAACCTGGAATACATTTGGTCTCTTCATTTTCACGTTCCCATGTGTTAAAGACAGCAGATATGTTGCTGTCTGTGTGCTGTCAATTGATGGTGTAAAGGTGTAGGTTGTGTTGTATTTAAGGAAGCCTCTCATAAGGCTTTAGAATAGAATTAATCCCATCTGATTTGTCATTCAATTCTAGAAGTGTATTTGCAATCTGTTTTTAATATCAAAGTGCCTTGTTTGCCAAAGCTTGTAGCTTCCCTCATTTCTCAATTTTTTGTCTAATTTTATTGAGAGTGAAAGTGAGAGGTGTGATAGAGTTTGTAAACTGATCACCCACATATTTTGGTATTGAGTTAGTAAACTTTTCAATACCAACAATTGGTATCAGAGCCAGAATACCATTCTGGCTGGTGCAGCAGTTATGGCATCCAACTTAGTGCAGCTCCAAGTTCCCACATTGAAGAAAGAAAATTATGAAAGATGGTGCATCCAATTCAAAGCATTGTTTGGATCACAAGAGCTATGGGAAGTTGTCAGTAATGGGTATGTTGTACCCTCTACCGAGCAAGAAGCCACATATACTGCAGATCAAAGGAACACTCTCAAGTATTTACGAAAGAAGGACCAGAAGGCGTTGTATCTTCTTTATCAAGGATTAGAAGATTTAACGTTCGAGAAGGTTGCAGAAGCAACAACGAGCAAGCAAGTATGGGACACACTCAGTACAATCTACAAAGGAGTAGATCGGGTCAAGAAAGTGAGATTACAGTCACTTCGAGCAGATTTTGAAACTGCTCACATGAATGAAGGAGAGAGCATCTCCGACTATCACTTAAGGCTCATTGTGATAGTAAATCAGATGAGGAGAAATGGTGAGAGACTTGATGAAGTACGAGTTGTGGAGAAGATACTCCAGTCACTCACATCTAAGTTTGAGCATGTGGTGACTGCCATTAAGGAATCCAAGGATTTGGAGGCGATGAGCGCAGAGAAGCTACTAGGATCCCTCATAGTTCACGAGCAACGCATTCAGAAGAATGCAAGCCCCACAACACTAGAGCAAGCTTTGGAGTCAAAGTTGAATATTGACAAACCAAATAAAGGTCGTGGGCAGTGGAACTCACGTCGTGGGAGTTCATCCAACAGTAGCCGAGGACGAGCCCGAGGAAAAGGTCGAGGCTATGCACAAAATCTAGGTCAGTCTCAGGAGTGGAGATCTACTCGAGGAAAGGCGCATATCCAATGTCACAGTTGCAAGCAGTATGGACATTATGCAAATGAATGTTCATATAAAAATGGTGAGCATGTCAACATGGCAGAATCAAGTGGAAATGCTGGTGAAGAACTTACAGTCTTACTAGCACACCATGATATCAGTAGCCAACAAGATGTCTGGTATTTAGACTCTGGTGCAAGCAACCACATGCGTGGAAAGAAAGAGTTTTTTGCCGAACTCAAAGATGGGCCTTATGGATCTGTGAGTCTTGGTGACTCCTCAAAGTTGCCAGTTGAAGGCAAAGGAAAGATCAAAATCATCCAGAAGGATGGTAAAGAAGAATACATCTCTGATACCTACTACATACCAGGTATGAAGAGCAACATTTTGAGCATTGGTCAATTGCTCCAGAAAGGGTATGTTATACATATGGAGGATATGTTTCTCACTCTCAGGAATGCAAGAATAAAGCTTATTGCACGTGTTCAAATGTCAAAAAATCGAATGTTCCCGTTGAAGTTGAACACAAAGATTGGGAGTTGCAACATCGGTGTAATGGAAGATGGGTCATGGAAATGGCATCTTCAGTATGGTCATCTTCATTTCAATGGCCTAAAGTTGCTGTCAAATGAAGGAATGGTTCGTGGTCTACCCCAGATTGAAGCCACACGCCAAGTATGTGAAGGTTGTGTGCTTGGCAAGCAAGCATGACTATCATTCCCTGTTGGTGATACATGGAGAGCAAGGGCACCACTGCAGTTGGTGCACACAGATATATGTGGTCCATTGGATCCCATGTCTTATGGAGATAATAGGTATTTTATTACTTTCATTGATGATTTTAGTAGGAAGACTTGGGTTTATTTTCTCAAGGAGAAGTCGGCTGCCCT